AAATATGCAGGATTAGGGAAAATTATATTAAGCTACAATTTCAGAAAATCAGCAAATACAAGGCATGATGCAACATTATAATGCAATAGCTTTAAATGTACCAGTATATCTAACACACTGCCAAGGAGATGAAAGAAAGGTACCAAAGCCACATTAAACCTGACGCTATAAATGTTTCAGGAGGATCAATCTTTGAGGAACAGCAAAAAGCATGGCAGAAAAAATAACATGACTCTTTAGCAAAAGTCACACAAAAACAAAACCCATAACAGATTTGGATCTTTTGTGATTTAAAAGGTGAAAATCAAACTTTAACTCTCAACTTTTTTTTGTTCAACATAGGTTGCTCATAATGTCATGTGCTGATATCAAATTAACTGAAATGCTTCTTTATGAGCCTTGCAGAGTGTGAGTTTAATTAATAAGTGTGTGTGTGTGTGGGGGGGGGGGGGGGGGTCTTCAATATTACATTTAAACACAAACAAGATATTATGGTTTGTGATATAAAAGAAACAGACCGGTAACATAATGCATACAATAACTATTGCAGCATTTCTCTTTCCAGTAGACCTATTTGAACCATACAGTTGTAACAAACAATTGCAGACACACATATATGTATTATATGAGCTTTCATCATGCATGACCTTAAATAGGCAATGTAGAAGTTAAAAATAGAATGCATGCTGGCATTGTTTCAGAGATATTTACACTGTAGTTGCCATGGCGACAGACTATAACTAAACACTTGGTGGTAAAAGTAGTTGCCTTTATCCTCAGAGATCATAGACGGCACAATATAAGGCTGAAGGATTATCCCCTCCGATGTGTCACTGACGGACCGAGTCATATTTGGTGCTGTCTGCTTTGTATCGACACAAGAGAGAACAGATACGGGACAATATCGTAAAGATGTCACTTGTTTTTATTCTGTTTGTATATTCAATGGAAATAACGTTTGCTTGTGTCCTTTCATCTGTTAGTTCTGTCATCACATACTTCCTTAGCAGTGTATGCGATGTTTAGCAAAAAAACTCATCCTATTTCTTCATGTTTTATCTATTATATAACAACCATATTAATAAATAGAGACTAATTGTGCCCAAAAAAAAATGTCATCAAAATCTGTTCTGCCCTTTCTTTGTGTGTCATGAACTGTACTATTTCGAAAGATATTCACATCTCACATGGCAGCAACTTCTCATCAGAGACTGAAACCGTTGATATCATGTGTCAAGACCAAAAGACGAAAGAGAAGCACCTTTTAATCAGTTAGCTTGTGCATAAGGCCCATTATCTTCTAACCATAAAGTTACTTCTGATGACGGTATGGTTTATTTCTCACAGCTAAAAATCCACACAAACTCACAGGTCTACAGGACCTTTAGGCTAAAATTGCATTGCATTTGATTTGACAACAGAAGAAAAACATGAAGCTGAAAAGCCTTGATGTTCCCTTTAACAAAAAAAAAAATCCATATTTAAGACATAAAGACACTGTTTTCAACCAGTGTTGATCATTTAAGAAAACATTTAAGAAAACTACAAAGGCCTTCCTCTGTATGGCCTCAGTACAATTATACCCAGAAATAAGGACACTTTAGGCCTAGCCAGCTATATTCAAATAACTATGGCCACAACAAAGCAATATTATGGTACAAATCACTGCCAATGTTACAGCAGAATAAACACTGAAAGGTCGCAACTCAAAAGCATGAGCTTCTGTAGACACAAAGCAAGCAGAGCTGCAGAGTTTTTGACAGACTTCACATTGCTAGGCAACGCAGTAGGCCTAGTTGTTGGTTGTCTCAGTTGTTTACTCACCTCTCTGAACAGCTTCCACGGGCTCTTGTTTTCCGTGTAGTCTTCAACAATCCACCTAAGGTAGGCCAACTTCTTTTCTGGCACTCTCACGTGAAACCAGTCCAATCTGTCCCAGTGTGACCAGTCCACCTCTCTGCCTCGCTGCTTCGCACAGCTTACAAACATTTTGAGCTGGAGAAAAATAGTGCCATGTAGTTTCGATAACAATGTAGCATTAGACCCGGCTTGCATCAGTCAGTTTGGAGTGTGTTTTATTTTTGGCCTGTTGGGAGTTGTGATTGGTGCGTTAAACCATTGGTTGATTGGCTAGATGCGCATGCGCAGCAAATTTGTAAGCAGGTTTAATTAGTAACCTCTTTGAGCAGTGTACTATAACGTTACACGAAAAACTTGCTGAAAATGAATAGCTGGAGCTTCTTCGTAAGTAGACTGTCCTCAGGTGAACCCACAGACTCCGCCCACAGGGCTCGTGCTAGAATGAACAGGAAGCAAGCACTTCAGTTTTGATGTGAGGTATGAGTTAGATATATTCAGTTTCAAATGATCTTCAAAACAGCCAGCCAGCCTGGGTTTTACGTATTTTAACCTCTCTGTGTTTTAACAAATCTTTCCACTTGTGTTTTGCCCATTTCAAATATTCCAATATGGAATCCATGAAGCGGAGGCACTAAATAGCAACAGAAAATAGTGGATGCCTGCAGAGCCCTGTGGTTTCCACAGTAACAAAAGCCCAAAATAGAAACCCACACCAGCGGCGATTCAACGTTGAATCCCTTGTGTTAATACACAGTTCTATTTATACCGCTTCTGGTGAAAATTGTTCCCATGGGTGAATGCATCCGTCCAATTACTGAAAAGATGGACATGATGGTCCAATTATATGATCACACCCCTGACTCTGTCTTTGCACTGCAGGTCTTTACAGGCTGAATAACTGAATCCAATATGATGTGATATACTGAAGATATTAAACAAGTGAGATGGTTTTTAATGAGACAGATAAATCAGACTGATTTTGAGCTGTGAGTTGTTATTGGCTGCATTGTTTGAGGGTTGCAACTTGTAGTGCTGTGTTATATGTTTTTACATAAACTCAGAGGCTTATTCTGTTTAAACGGTTTCTACTTTTCCCCCTTGTTCTATTAAATAGTCATGTAATAAATGGCTTATTAAACTAGGCCTTTTTTTGATTTTGCAGGGGGGAAAAAAACAGAAATTGACTAATCCAGAAAATGGCCCTTGATTTATTGCAATCCACACATTTCATTATAAAGAGTGACTTGACTCTCTGAAAGGAAATGAGCAGCAAACATAAGTGTATTTTTAGATATCCCAATAATGATTCCTTTTTTCAGTGTCTTCTGTAAAATCAAATTGTTGTTGTGATGTAGGGTTTCTGTTGATAGAAATACATAGCTTTTATCCACATACAAAACATATTTCCATATTTAAAATATTTAAAACAGCGTCAGTGGTGAAATAAGGGTGATTGGTTCAATAGAGTACCTTTGTTTTGTAGCTTGCTGCTATTTTTCCTTCATATTTTAATGATTCAAATACTTAAAGCTCCTGTAGGAGTTTTAAGCTGGTGGTGAAACTGACTGAAATCAATACCGATGCTTCTTTATGGCCTACTAGAGCAAACAAGACCATCCCTGACAAGATTGTATTATTTGGATGTTGCAATTCTTAATGCCTGAATTCCCTGCCAGGGGTACGTGTCGAACAAGTGGATTAACAGCATAGTGCAGAAAGAGCCTTCCATTCATTTTCTACATACTTGGTGATCCATTTGACTGTTAAGATAAGCAAGACATGATTTGTCATCAGGAAACATGACTTACACAGGTACAGGTCAAGATCAGCAAAAGAGATGAGACATATCCACTTTGTCCACAAGGGGCGCCAATATCGACACAAAACAAAAGTTACTCACAGCTGATTTTAATAACTTCTTTGTCTTTTTTGGGGTCTTGAACAACTGAAAACACAATCAGTTGTGGGGCATAAAAGGGCACCGATTTTACCATGGCCTCTATGCTTTATTTGAATTCCCTATAAACAGCCCTGCACTTTTCCTCTCATTCTCACCATTATAAAGGTAAAGCCTGCAATTTATTAAAAGACATATTTTAGTAACCTGATCCCTCTTACAAAACCACCCAGACTATTGTATCTGGAAGGATCACAACATGTGACTTTCTTGTTTTTTTTTTTTTATAATTTTGGATCACATGTACATTGTCAATTTGATCTTTTTTACAAAGTAGTTTTATACTCTTTTAACTTAAATGAACCAAACTAATTAATTGGATGCTTTAATGTTTAAAAAAGATACCTAAACACTGTATTTCATATGGCTGTTGATTTCACAGTAATCTGAGTTGTCACTATCTGCAGCATTATTATTCTATATGCACCTCTGTTTAAAAAACCCACACAAAAATGTTTTTTTTGCAACATAGATATGAAAATACAAAAGCTTAGCTGGAGAGTTGCTTGATTCCTCACTTTTCTGAATAATAAAACCTTTGTGATTTATATGCCTTAATCCTGACTGAGTTTTTGATTGTGACACATTTGTGTTACTCTATATCGCGTTGTGTAATACGTGTTTATTTATTAAGTTATCAAAACAGTTTCTTATCATTGCTCTCGTTTTCGTTACATAAGAGTCAAGAGAGTTTTCGTGTAGCTAAGATAAGCTTCCTGACTCATATCAGCTGGTTTGCAGTTTATCACCTTCAACCAACACAGCAAGTGTGCTGCGTTCACGTTCGGTCGGAAAAAACGAAACCTTCCTTAGAAAGCACTTTAGCCATGTATTTTATTGCAAAATATCGCCACAATGAAGAGATTTGTATTTTACGACAGTGGCCAAAAGAGGAAAAATGCTTTGTTTAGCCAACTGATAAAAAAACCAGGGTCATGATTTATTACGTGTATAGACCTAACTTAATTTTCATTCTTATGATGATCCGCAGAGGCAGCAACGACAACGTACTATTATGGGTATTTTGTTTTTCCAAATCGAATGGCTATTAAAAAAAACATACTGTTTAACTGAACGTTTTCTCCGTTTAAAATTACGGGGAAATGTACGTCAAGTAATGTGGAGTTTGAGAATTGCTACTTTGTGGAAGCACTTGAAGGCAGCCTAGTACTGCAGCCGCCCGACGGTGCCGCTGTCTGACGATGGTAGACTGGAGAGACGGATGGTCAGAGCCGTCCCCTGTGTAACCTGAACATGCAAGTGTGACTTGATTCTTGTCGGTTTACTTCGCCTAACCAGGTTGCACAATTACTTAGCTTTAGTTAGTCATATTATATTTAAAATTATGGAGGACGACTGTGTTTGTGACTACGACTCGACCTGGGACACAGAGAGTGATGGAGACGACCCGGCCGGAGAGAGCCAAACCCGTCGGTTATGTCCAGACAAAAACAAGTCTGCCTGGACTTTAGTAACTGTATGCCTTTCTTGAACTTTAATCGAACCCATATCGTACCTAAATCATGTTACTGTGTCGGATACGATGAGTAGAAACAGGTTGGTTTGCAGCCGGCCAGGCGTTTTGCTAACATTGACTGGAAAAGCTAATGATAGCTTTTTGCCTCTCTGCTGCTGGCTTGCTAACTAGCCTTGCTATGTTAGCCGCCGATGGTAGCTCACTTTCCAGGGGCTGGACGTAGCTGGTGTAATGTTTTAGTAATCATTTAGGGCACCTTACATTGTTTTATTTATTTTAAATATACATATCCTGTTATTAGCATCTAAAATGAAACATCTTAATCGAGCATGTAGACTTTATCTCGGAGGTCGAAGTGAAATAGCTCGGCCTTGATTATGTCAACATGTACTGCATAACGAAATGTCAGCTTATTACAGTCTTAGCATATATCACTGTAACTCATCATGACGTGACTGATTTAAAATGTACTCGAATGCATTTCCCCTGTATATGTCGCGGTGACACGTTTGATGTAGGTTTAATTTCACTTTCACTTTCATTTACAGTGGCATCACACGCCAAGAAACATGAGAGCAGCAAAGGACATGCAGACCTACAGAAGAGAGTATCCAGTAAGCAACAGCCAAAGCGTCCAACTAAATATATGTCTGCAATATCACACAATGAGAGAGGTCAAATGATGCCTCTTTTGTTTTTTTCTCTTTCTTGCAGAACCTCGCTGATGACGAGTGCTCAGAAGACAAAATGAACAATTTGCAGTTTTATCTGAATAAATTTCCTTCTGCTCCAGATGGTAACATTTTAGAGTGTTTACATTTTTTTTTTTAGCATTTGGGAAAGTGAGTGCCCTGTTTCCTGATGCTTTTTTTTTTTTTTTTCATCCTGTGGCACAGATGTCTTCATAGAATCATTTCTGAAGGAGTGGAAAAACGACTACAAAAGATTGGAGAGAGTTCACTCGTATATCCAGTGGTACGTATTGTTTGCGCTGTTTGTTTTGGCTCTGTCGAAGTTAAAGTTATTTTAACAAAGACATCTTATTCTTGTGACCTTGTAGTGAGAAGCTGCCAGCAGTGTGCTGTCATGAAATATGATTTATATAAAATATGCTGATTAGGTGTTATTCTTGTGTCTGTTGTACTATTTCAGGTTTGGGTGGGCAAACTTTTTCCCAATAGTGAGTCAAATGGGGTTAAAATGTCCTTTCAATGCATTAGCTACTAGTTTGGTTTATTTAGGTTCAATGAGGCTTCAGATTTGTATGTGGTCATTTTATTTATGAAGCACCAAGATCATATTGTATATTTTGCCTACAAAGAGTTGCATGAAAAGCTGACATCATCTTAATTAAATTACTTACTTTCATTAGGTGCTAATTGACTCTGTGTTGTTTCTCTCTTGAATATTCTGCCATCATAAGGCTGTTTCCACTGCGAGAGCCGGGGGTTAATTACATGGCTTCAGAACTCACCAAGAAGGAAATCGAGGTAAGTCTATTGTTATGCCCCGTCAACAGGGGAAGCCAAGCACAACAAGAATAAAGGCCCCAAATCCCTCACTTCCCAAGCAGCCACTGAGACTATATGCAATGTTTTCACCACAACATCATTTATTTACAGGACAGAAAAAAAGTGAACAGCAACATGTGAGTGAGATAAGAATGAACGTAAGCTTCAGGGTGAATCAGTGCCAAACATAACAAACGAGTCTAACTGACAGTGAACCAAACTAACCTGATAAATCAAAGAAAACAAAACACAGCAAACTTACCTCCCTAACGAACCAAAACAGAAGAAAACCATGTTAAAGTAACTAGTTATTTATCCCCTAAATAACCTAACACAGAACTAAATAGGCTCAATTGCTTAAAAAAGGAAAACATGGCGTGGCAGGTTGGAAGGTGAGAGACATGGAGTTCCCCTCCTGCGCTGCAGTCACGTCATCTTCCTGCTTTAATAGGGGGAAGACCTCTTCGCAGCCTTTCATCAACAGGAGCAGGAAATTAATCGGCCAATCAGCTCCTGGGGCTGCCACACCTATTCACACACAGAAAGACAGAACGCAGGCAACGCATCCAACCTAGGAAAAAAAAGTAAACCGGCAGAAGTACAGACATTAGGACTACATTCGTAACACTATTGGAAATGAAAATCTGTCAAGCAGTTCATAAGAAGTGTTGGGTTTTCAACAGTTGCCTTTATTTGCACAAATCAAAGCCACACCTCACATGTATTCCAACCCTAAGGTTCATTCAACAAAACGTATCCATTGAATACACAGCTTTCATTTACTTATCTGTGCTAACAGCTGTCAAGCTGGAAATGCGGACACACTAGATTAAATTAACCTATTAAAAAATTAATAATTTATTTTCTTTTTGATGGTGCTGTTAGGGGTAATCATTAATGCAAAAAAGGGTTATGCATTTTGTTTATATTATTGCCTTTGCTGTATTTGCTCCCAAGGCTTTCAAGAAGAATGAGGACGCCAAAAGGAGACTTGTCGAGTCCTATGAACTCATGTTGGGCTTCTATGGCATCCGATTGGTCAGCAAAGAGACGGGCGAAGTGAAACGAGCAGATAACTGGAAGGAGCGATTTGGAAATCTAGAGCGGTAATTATCCAAATACTTTCATGGTAGCAGTATCACAGATATGTCTTTGTGGTTCATCATTTCAGCATTCCCTCCTCATCTTTCGCAGAAACATGCACAACAACCTGCGCATCACTCGCATCCTGAAGAGCCTGGGCGAGCTGGGCTTCAAACACTTCCAGGCCCCTCTTGTGCGCTTCTTTCTGGAAGAGACTCTAGTTAAAAAGACCCTCAGCAGTGTTAAACGCAGCGTCCTCGACTACTTTCTGTTTGCCGTAAAGGACAAGCAGAAACGTCAGGAGCTTGTGCGCTTTGCATACCTTCACTTTGAGCCAAGGGATAAGTTTGTGTGGTGTCCCAGAAAGATTCAGAAACAATTCAGAAAGGCAGAGAAAAGATCGGATGCAGTTGGGAATGGAGACGGAAAAGAGGAGGTGCTTTCACGGGGCAAAAGCAAAGACGGAGAAGCAGTTGTGCAACAAAAAGAGGATGGACTTGATAATATTTCAAAGGCTCAGAAAGGAACTGATCAAACTGTGTGTAAAGAAAAAAACAAAGAGTCAGAGGCATCCCCTGAGCCAAAATCAGACTCTGAGACTGTCGATAATGGAAATGCTGAGGCAGAATCTAATAATGAAATATTGGGCAATGGAAGTGACTCAACGGAGAATGTTGATGAGATGGATCAGTCGCCCAGTCCTGAGTCTGTGACGTCAGAACCCAAGCCCTGTGCGGACAGTGAGGAGAAACTTTCCAACGACTCAAAGGACAGCAAGCAGGAACCCGACAACATTATGCAAACAGATGGCGACATAGACACTGAAAAACCACCGAAGAAGAAGAGGGAGGATGACAAGGTGCTGCCAAGCAACGGCTCCGCTGGGGACTTGGCCGGTGGGCAGATGGAAGAAAAAGCTGCGTCTAATAAAGCCTCTGGTCAGACGAGCCCATCATCGCAAACCCCCCTTAAGACGTCAAAACACTCACCCTCCCTTTCTTCAGGAAGGGAGGAAAAAATCCCAAGGACCGATTTTAATCAAGTGCCAGACAAAAAGGAAGAGGAAGAAACGTCACAGGAAAATGGGTCAGCCACAAATGGGTCAGAGACGAGCACTGACAAAGGTGTGGATGAACAGACGAATGGGAAGGAGGCGGAAGATGCTGATATGGAATCGAAGCCCTCAAGCTCAGACCCAAATATGGGGAATTCATGAAAAAACTGGTTGATAGAAGGAAAACATTAGTTGAAGCTAAAATGAAATGTAATATAAGGACAGAGTCTGATTTTCTGGGCCTTATTTCTGCTATGTTTGATGTTTAGATATGGATTCTTTTTACTTTGAAGGAGAATATGAACTCATGTGGGACTGGATGTGACTCAGTTTCTACGTGGCCCTCAGAAAATGTGAAAGGACGAAGCTGGTGATATTCTGTGTTTTTGATTGTTGGCAACAAATCCTGTGATAGGTTAAAATATCAACGGAAAACTTGATGGACTGCTGTGATCTGCAGGACCAGGGATGTGACGTTAGGCTCATTGTCACTAGCTTTTTACTTGTGCTGGAGATCGAGGATCTGTGAGGAATTGGCAGGTCAACTGTCCTCAGAAATTCAGTTACACATTTAAATTTACAAACTTTGTAGAATTATTATCCCTCTGAAATAATGCTAACGTTGCTGCTGCTGCTCTGTCACCGCTACGCAGTTTTGGAAAAAATGTGATTGGATAACAAAAATGTAAACAACCATGATAACAGAAATGTATCCATTATGAATATCCATGCAACAACTTTTGGTGGATGAGATTTAAAGAGGATGTTGCTTTCCAAATTTCAAATGCCTCACTACAGTATTATTGTCGTCATTTTTCCACTGAGGCTAATTGTCCTGATCAATCTTTTTTTTTGAAAGACCTGTGACATGGCTGCTGTGAAAACTCAACATGCTAACAACCTCATTGTGTTAATGATAGCGATTTTTCTACTCTGGCTGTGGCACAGTTCTTATTTAAGACGTTAATTTAGTAAATTCACAGCAGCTAAAAAAAGGAAGCGTGTATGTGGGATTGAAATGAAACAAGTTAACTTCTGCGACAGTGTCTCGTTTTTCTCAAGTTTTATTTTGGAGTTTTTGGGCGAGAGTGAAGCTCTGAGGCACAGATGATACATCGGCTTTGAATTCACAGATAAAACATTGTTTCGGTCTTTCAAAAAGGATTTATTGACAATGACAAAATGAACGTCTATCACCAGACTTCTTCACCTTGATAATAACAAAGTCTGTCAATAACTGGTATTTAATACTAAAAGCACTATTATTAATGTATATCAATGGAATGGATATTTCTCAGCATTTTAACACCTTAATACTTTGAAGAATTGCGCTATTTTTTTTTTTTTGCACTGAAAAATAAAAAAATGAATTCATTTTCTTATTTTCCTTTTTTTTTCTTGTGTGTTAAATCTTTCTGCACCCGTTTGTGTTTCTGCTGAACCCCCGATGCTCCAACGGGTTTAAGACTGAATGTCATTGAAGATATGTTTCCGTAATCTTGCACATCATCTGTGTTTTCATGCAGATTTGGGAAGTAGACTTTTGAACACTGAGAACCTTGCCAAAAAAATGTGAAGAGACTGGTTGATTGTACAATATGTCTGTATGTTGGCGGGAATGAGTAAGCTTTGGCCATGATTTAAAGTCCACTGTGTGTTCATTTGACTTGTTTGGCCATGACATATCACAAGCCAGTTTGATGATGTTGATGCATTTCTTTACATTTGCACTTAAGTTTTCACTGTTAATTGTTGACGTTTTGGTATTTACAGAATGAAATGGTAATGACTTTTCAAAAGTGCTGAATTCTTTATAAATGACTTTTCCCTACTACATATCTAGCTGTTAACAAATCAGAATAAAGTGATACTATTTTTGGATGTTTTTATGAAACTGATATGTGTTTAGCCAAAGTCTGACTTCGGTTATAGATTATTCAATTGTAACTCTCAGGATAACACTGTGGTAGATGTCAGCTTTTGCTCCTATTCCTGAGACTCCTTTTGTTATGTTTTTTTAATTTCCCAGTGCAGCATAAAGTCAGACGTATCCGTCTATTTCTCCAGCCTCAGCGAAGACACGACTCACCAGAGAGGAGGGAGAAAGATGCTAAAGATATTGATGCAACACAGTCTGTTCAGACCTCAGGATCAGTGTGCATTTGAGGCTGTGAGTCAGGAGGAAGAATACATACTGTTCAAGTTTGCTGTTTGTTTTTGCCCCCCTCCCTCCCTGTTTGGAACATTATAAATAAAACATCTTAACAGTTTCTGTTGACTTATTCTAAGACGTGATCAGGAGCAGAGCTCGGATTATTCCTGTTCTCTTTGCCAGGGGAAGAATGCCTTTCTCTTATTTTAAAACTTCTTAATCTCTATTCAGTGTGCTTCCATTTATATTTGATGACGTTTGCAGGCTTTGTCTTGTGTGGTGCCGAAACAATGAGTCTATTGTTTTAACGTTAATTTTCCACTGTTGATCTTAAAGAGTCATTGTAATACCATTTAAACCATGAATACCAGACGTTGACTTGTTCAACAGCTATATTGATGTGATTTATGTCTTTTCTTTCACGTCATTGTCAATCTTCAGCAGTTTCATATTTTCATATAATGGTCAAAAGAAGATATTTGAAGATGACTTTGTGCTGTTAACAGTCAGGATTGTTTAGATTTTCAGTGTTTTATATCAATTAAAAGACCAAACTGTCAAGAAAAAGAATCTGAAGATTTGTTGATAATGAATATAATCAACTTTGAGTCAGACTTTTCATGCAACACACTGTCAAAACTATTTCATAGTGAAGTGGTCATGTTGGGAGGAACCCCTGAAAAGACTTAATTTAAGTATTTTCTGTCTTTAAAAAGATCCTGGAAAATATACCTGATGTTGCCATAGTGATGTTAATGGGGCTACCTCTGCCTGTGTTTTCAGATTATCCGTTACAAGGAGGTGATTGTCCAGATTTTGTTTGACTGAGGTAGCCCAATTTGGGCACTGACAGCAGGGCAAGCATAACGTATGCACAAACACACGGATGAATTCAATTTATTGACCCTTTCAATCTCCACTACTCAAATCTACCTAAAATTAAAGTATCATACAGATGTTAAATCCTTGTGAATTTATATATAATTTAAATTTTGTGCTTTAACAATTAACATAACAGGGTAAGAACATAACTCAAAAAAAATGGATGTCCAAAGTCACAATTTAAGATACTTCTTTAAATTGCATGCAAACTCCTGCACACAGACATTTATTTGAAATGTTTTGTTAAATCTTTTTTAAAAATACTTACTTGTAGGTAAAAATACTTGTAGAAGCCTGCTTAATGCTCTGCTTGAAGGTTGCACACATCTCATAGTTGAATTCTGAAATAAAGCGTGTGCTTCTTACCTTGTACCTTCCTGTACATGCGTTGAAGTGTAAAAGGTGAGATGTTTGTAAAAAAATAAACATGACTGCAGATTATCCATCACATCTACCTTACAATTATGAAATACGTCAGCAAAATCTAACCCAAACAATCTGTTCAAAGGAGAGGCAGACCATAGTTCAGTGGTTTAGAAACTGCCCGGTGTGTCTTGTACTACTTTCAGAATTTGGTTAGTTACCAACATGTGGTGACACAGGAGCTGCAGCACCCAGAGAACGTAGAGAGAGAAGATTTTACAAAATATTTTACAAACAAGATTTGTTTGAGAAGGACTGAATACTATGGAAGAAAAGCTTTCCAATTACATGTTACTGGATTATCTGACATAAAAAAAAAACACATTTAAAATACTTTATATATGTATTTATTAAATAGTCCTACATACACAAGACTTTTTGACTCACCGGCCAAGATGACTGTAAATTTAAAAAAAATCACTGGCCAAACGTACTTTTTACTGGCCAAAGAAATAATCACATTTTTTTTTGTCAGTTTTGTTTTAAGGCCTCATGTCATCGAGATACTGCAGTATTTTGTTTCTTGGGATCGGATCACAAATGTAGGTCAGCAACAACATATGCCTGTAAGTGCATGCAAATGGTGTTGTAGCTATGTTAAGCAAAACAGATTTCTAAATTAAGATTATCACAGCGCTAATATTGTTTAAAAAAGTTAAAGGCATTTCCCAGTATAGCATCAAGCTAAAAAAAACAAAGATATACAGCTTTTGTGAGAAATTGTGCCCCCCCTGGCGAACATTGCACCAGTCCCCACTGGTTGGGGGTCCACAGGGATATCTTTTCATTAGGCCCAGGATTCCTGGAGACGCCCCTGCCAGGCAGGAAACCCCAAATATTTGTAACGTTTTCGTTTTCTTCTTTTTTTTTTTTTTTTTTTAGCTCAACCCACTTTCTAGGTGTCCAAAATGATCTCCCCTCTGCCTTACTGCCTGCCTCTCTCCTCCTCACCCCCCCTTTGCCCCTCTGTGTAGAGCTCCGCTTTGAGTTCAGCCCCTTCGCCTGGAGGCTCAGGTTTATTTGGGACCAAGGAGGAAATCATTCAGGAGCTGTGCGCCGTCAGGTGAAGGAAGGCTCCGTTGCGGACTCTGGGGGGTTTAAGAGAGGACCTGGAACCAGGGATTTGACCTTTTCCGTTTAAACTCGGGTTTGTGAGGGCGACAGGGAGCCATGGCGGTGTTCTCTGCGCTTTGGGTGCTCTTACTGTGTCAGCTTTTAACATCTTCCTCAGCCCAGGTAAGACTTCCTCGACTTCATCCATCCTTTCATTTTGCCGCCTGCATCAAAGCTCCGTGTGGGTTTTTAGCTCGTAGCATCGATAGACTGAACTTATACTGAAATAAGTTACCATGTCCTACAAGTTCAGTTTATAATGGAGTCTATCCATTGTGTTTTATATTACAGAGTTTAAAGGGCTGGCCTGCACGCTCTTTATCATACCACCTGATGCTTTCTTAACTTGTTTTCTTCTATAATTACCATGGACTAAATGCAGATGTTATTTCTGTCCCTCTGGCTCTGTGGGCCTATTATTTGTGCCCTTCGTCAGGCAGATTGTGTGCAGGTGTCTGTGCTTTTCGCACTCGTTGGTGATGTTGGGGTTATGTTTTCTCTGAACCTGAGGAATGCACAGATTGGAGATCAGTGCCACAGTGCACAATGCCACCTCTGTTCATTCAGACTCCCCTGACTGAGCTGAAACTCAGGAGCTTAGTTCACGTCCTCCCTTAAAATAAGTTTATTGTGTTTAGAAGAACTGTAAAAGTACTTTAGTTTAGTTTCCTTTTTAAAATGAAATCTAGTTTAGGCTTCCGCTTTGTGTGCAAGGGGCCTATTTGCAGATTTTCCAGGGTAGAAATTTGTAACATATCTTCAGGCTTATATTACTTTTTTGGCCAAAATAAAAGCCAAACAACATGTTTTATGTTTCTATTTAATCTAATCATATAGCAACCTGTTGATGTATGCTTTCTTTATTGTGCTGTAATTAACACTGGAGGCTTTATATTCCTAAGAAATACATTCCTGATTTGATCAATTTTATGTCACAGAGACCGGGCCCCAGAGGAGCCACTGGGCCACCAGGACCCCCAGGGCTGCCGGGAAAGGATGGCACTGATGTAAGCTGACCAGAGTCCAACAGGGTTTTAATATTCTTTACATATGTGCCTTCAGATATTTACCCGATTTAGATGAAACCATGAAAAGAGTTTGCCGTTTGAGTTTGCTTTTTCTTTGTCTGAGTAACAAACTCATTTATTTTCCTTCTCTCTGAAGTGTAACAAATTCACCCAAAAATAGAATATTATTTTCACACTAGCTCAGACATTTCCTCCTCTTTTCTGATTTACCTCTGAGTTTCCTTTGGCATAAAGTGTGTTCTTTGTGCATTAATGTGTCTGAAAGATGCCAAATGTTAGTTATGATCACATTGACTCCTCCCAGCACCCCTCCCTCAGGTATGAAATCACAATATCGTGTGTCAGGTAGGCAGAGTTTAGGCTTGCCTCTGCTTAATGGAGCTTTGTGTCTGAAGAACTGTCTGGGTAAATTAATGTTTTATACCACCCTAAAAAGATTAGATTATTTTTATAATCCCTATATCATTTGTATTATTATTTTGTGAATGGATGTATTTCTTCTGTAGATCATTCTGTATAAATTAGCCTGTCTGAGATGGATGTGATGTGACTTTGTTTGTGCAAGAGAAAATTGGATTATGGGTAATCCAAGTAAAAAGAAAAACACTTGTTAGAGGCTGACTTACTTTGTAAGCTCCATAAACTTTTAATTCCTTTTGATTTATACTTTTGATTTTTTTGTGAAGATTTTCTCTTACACCAAAAAAGCAACTGTCCAGGAAGTCACAGAGGTTTTTTTTGTGTGTGTGTGATTATTTTTGTGACTGGTAAAGTTTAGGCACACAGAGGGTCCATTCATACATTCCCCAGCACAGTGAGACCATCTAGAGTTTCTCCTCACACCTCCTCCCTGCACCTCCAGCCCCCCTCCTCAAACCAAACTGGAGCTGTGATGATCATGTGACCAGTGGACATTGGGTCACTTTAGTAGCGTTTTTGTTCTTCCAGCAGCCTCTGCAGAGGCTAAACATCGAATCCTCTGTTTATTAAGGCAGACCAAATACTCACTGCTCCAGTCACTTTAACAGTTCTGTTGTTATTGATCAATTAGGATTTAATAAAAAGAACTTGCATCTAATATCAAACACTGTCTTCCCTGGAAGCAATTGCACCTGTGTGGCAACAAATTCAAATTGAAATGTATTTTTCTCTGGTTTAAAACATATTTTTTTCTTTCTCATTATCAGGGCAAACCTGGACCTGCTGGACTCTCTGGAAAAGCTGTAAGTACTCCAACATAAGAAAATAATTAGTGGTGATCAAGGCCGAATGTTTCACTTGTAAAAAATCAAGTTGTTTATGTGTTTGTATAATTATTGCTTTCTTTAAACCCTTCCATTGAACTTCACAATATGTTCAATGAAAACAGCATCCTTTACATCCTGTACATCAATTATATAAAACCCCAAAAGAATGAACCTGCTGTCCTCCGTACCCATCAGATTACATCATCACCAACTACTGTATCTGTACGTCATTTTCATGCAAGTATTATTTTAGCCCTTTTGTTAAACGAAGCCAAAAATAAAATGTAAATACAAAATTAAAGGACCCTCCTCTGCTCTCCCCCCCAAAAAACAGACTACTCTCTAGCCAAGAGTTAAACTTAAATACTCTCTCCCTTTCCTGAGCCCTTCATACGAACAATATGATTTGATACAACACAGTACGGTACGATAAGGTACAGTACAATACGGTATAATATTAAACAAACAGTTACGATACGATACAATACGATACGATGTGATGCGAAATTATATGCTTCGGTTCATTATGATACGATACATTTTATTTTCCACTTGGAGAAGTTAGTCATGGACTCCTGTGCCGCACAACAGTCTACATGTAAACAGAGAAGCACATACCAACGTCAACCACAAACAACCTTGAATGCACATCACCAATACAGCACAGGATCTTCTTTAAAACACAACATACGTAAGAGAGAGATGAAAAAGATGAAGAACACCATGATGCCACTGCACAACCCATACAGCCTTAAGTTTTTTATTGTTCCAAATCTTGATCGAGGTGGGCACAAACAAGTTTTTAAAACTGTTACATTTGCACGAGGGGATTATTTTCATACAGTTTATAATCACTTATTTGTGCCAAAGGCTCGAACTATCAGTAAAGCGTTAAACCTTCTGACGTTCAGTTAAAAGAGGTTGAAGTCAGCTGTTCAGTTGACCACATTACTGATTTATAAATGTGTCTTTGCAGGGTCCCAAAGGGAAAGCAGGAATACCAGGCGCATCAGGTAAACCAGGCCTGCCAGGACTTCCAGGGGTGGATGTAAGTGTCCAATCAACACAAACACAGAAAACTCTTATTCTTACATCAACACAGGCTGTGTGTCTTTGCAAATAATAGTCAGGAATAAATTGCTCAAACAATAGCGCCGTATTAAGGAGCAAAGCACAAGGTAGCGGAGTGTCTCTGACTGATGTGCTTTCCTCTTCAGGGTTTGACGGGTCCCGATGGTCCTGCTGGGAAGGATGGACCCCCAGGGGAGGCGGTAAGTGTGTCTCAGTCTTATGATCTTTCTCAGATACTGAGGATGTGCTTAAAGATGGGACCCAGCTTGATGGTATGACCTTATCTGCTTCAGAATTCCCTGTCATGAATCGACCAGTTAAAAGCAGACTCTTAGTGTAGCTTACAGACACCTATGCTTGCAAGAACCCTGCGTGCTGATTGGTTGTTGTTGTATGGAGATCTGTAGGAGGGTCTATCGAGGACAAGACCCATGTTTCCTCTGTCGTCCTCAATTTGTCAAGGCAGCTCAGCCTCTTGGGGGGAAATATTTTTAATGAGGGATCAGAATCGGGATTTATTTCTGCTGCTTTCCTAATCCGGCCCGGAATGCACGCTGTTTTCCCACCAATCTGTGAGGCTGCAGGGGGATGATCTGTTGCTCTTATGAGACAGAAACAGGTTCTATTGTCAGAGCGATACAAGAGAGAGAGAGCATCAAACGACACGTGCACTGCTACATCTTGTGATTAAACAGGAAGACTGTTATTTCCCACATTAGATGTCAGATATGAAAGAATACAGATTAAGGGGCCTTTCGCTGTGAGGCTGCAAATTCACTGTCAAGATAGATAAACCCCCCTCCTGGCAATTCAACTAATTAGCCGATCTAATGAGGAAGCTTGCGTCAACCAGTGTCCCTAATTACACAGATTATATACACTGTCATGGCTGCTTCATGGGGCTGAAGAGTCGGGATCAAACAAGTGGAGATTGAGACAGAGTATTAGCTAACTATATCAGCTCACTTAACCACATATACAGGATCAAAACATTTCAAATCTGCTTATTTTATAATTACGATACATTTTTCAGCCGCATCACGTCATGTGTTTGTTTATGATTTTCAAGCCAGTGTAACCTGCTGTCTTGTTTGCAGACTGAGGAATGCAGCGTTTAAGTAACAGCACTGTGTTAGGCCTGTTTATTCCGGAGTCTCAGACAACACAAATACAGCTGTGACAAAGGTAAACAAAGACGTAGAGAAGGAGGAGAAGCAGCCCCACAGTGATCCACAACCTGATCATGTATTTTAGTATTTTGTCGGAGTTGTTTTTCTTTTACTGACACACAGAATGACAAGATGTAAACATACTGAAGACATAAATGTGAAAATAAATAGAGGGAAAGTGATTTTATTGTGTCCTTCACAGCCTTCAGTTCCAGGTAAACAAAAAATGCTATCAGAGGCATTTGTTGTATTACAAACACTAGGATCCCTGCTTGTTTCAATTTAAGTATTTACTGCCATGATCAAGACCTTTCCTCCAATCAGTAACCTACAGTATCTACGCATCAGGTTACCTTTTTTTTTCATGTTTTGTATCTTTTTTTTGGGATTTGCCACCTGTCAATCAAGCTTAAAATGAAAAACAGCTGGCAAAAGCATTGTTTCCTCTCATACCAAATCTACATTCAACAGTCATCATCTGAGTTTCAGCCAATTTGAAGGAATTTTAAAGGAACACAACAGTCATTGTGCCTTGTTTTTTTCCCAGCTGAGTTTTGTCAAGGCCCACACACATACATCAGTTAAGTAATAAGTCTAGCACAATCAGTACACACTTTTATAAACAGGCTTTTATGTAAATCATCCGCCCTGATCTGATGTTATTTTTTAGCTGACACCTTTTCTTTTTTTATCTCGATCTGATTTCAGCTGCATCTGTCATCCCGCATATCATCCATCATTTTCTTTGACCAGTGTTGTATTGCTGCCCTATGTAAAGCACTTTGTAAACCGTGTTTTTAAAAAGGTGCTAAACATACAAAAAGTAGGAAGAAAGGCGGTATAAACCGGCAAAACACAAGCTGATGAAAGAAGCTGACATGCACATAAAGAATTGTACACCGTAAACACTGGATGCATCACATTTATGCACATTCATGCTTTTCTTTTGTTCAATAACAAAGCCCAACCATCAGTCCATCCAACAAAAGGAAGAAAATCTGAATTCTTTGGTGTCAGAACCAGAATCAGAATCAGAAATACTTTCTTAATCCCAGGGGGAAATTCGGTTCACAAATGGCTTGATGTTCTCGAGGTTTAAATGTCGTTTTCTTTTGCTCTGGTTGGTTATGTCCGGGAGATTGATTGTGGCGCTTTGTTTTGCACTCTACAGGGTGATGCTGGACCTCCTGGGCCTGCTGGACCTCCTGTAAGTAACCCCTACATACTTTTAACAACTCATGATCATGCCACACTCATTCCTCTCATCCTCTGATGTGTTACCACTTCACTCTGACCACTGTAATAGTTACCACCATCGTAAAAGACTTTACCTCAACATGATCACTTGACAAAAAGTCTGTTTCTTCTCTTCATGCACAGAGAATCGAGTGCTATCAAATGTTTTGTGAAGAGACAATGATATGACTCAGCTCTATTCAGACTGTGCCAGCCTTTGGTTCAAACAGAGATAATGAGGACCCCTTAGAGCTACATGGTCGCGCATTGTCTAATAATCATCAGATTATAGATTGCTCTGATCTGACTGGGCGGCAGAAGTTCATCTCCACCTCGCAGCGACAACCTGAGACAAACTTTCAAAGTGGATTTAATGCAGTGATGTATCACAGGCTGGATATTGATGCTCTGAGTAAATCTAATAATCCCCTCGGTATTTGTGACTTAATTTGTCTTCCTGTGTCTTCCGTAGGGCAGAGGGAGACCAGGAGCCGCAGTGAGTACAAAGCACTGTCTATTTATAGAACGCTAATGTGCACCACGATGGAGATTGTGATGTTTTTGTTTTTATTATTCAAATATTACTCATGTACTATTGACTGCATTCTTATAGAGCATACTTTTGAACGTGACATGTATGTCTTCACCCTGACTGTGCACACTGATGGCGGTTTTTGTTTTTCAGGGACTACCTGGAACCAACGGGTTGCCAGGCGGAGTCGGACCTCAGGGCCCAGCGGTGTGTATCCGTCCAATCTCCACAATTAACATCCTTAATGAGCTGTTATAGCCTTTGATTCAGAATGAGATTGTTATCTGTGCTATTTCAGGCTATGCTCATTTTCACCCCAGTTGGCCTCAGATAACAGTCATCAATACAGTTTGTGTAATGGCAGCATCATTCCTAAAGGAGCTCCTCCTGCTCAAACAGTGAAGCTGATATTGTTTGAGATCCATCAGGACTTTGTTGTAAGCAACCAGTTCAAGCTTGCCCTAAACTGTGGTATAATGGAGCTGAAGCAGGAGTGTAGGACTGGCTGAGAGGAAAAGCACTTCAGTTTGTGTACTGGTCTAGTTTTGCTTCTGAGCCTCACTTTGGATCTAGTAGACATTACACTCACATTTTGTGAAAAGTTGCAAAACAGTTTATATTTTTGTACTCTTTATTGTGTGGGTCAGGCTTCATTTTTAGGTCAGGTTTAACATTTAACATAAACTTCAGGTCAAGACCATAGTTTACATAGATGCACTAAGGAGTCACATTTTTAGCATTTATTTTGTATCCAAAGTATTTCAGGACAACACATCAAAATGTTAAACTTTTTTATCGCCGCAAATGTGGAAGTTTAAGATTTTGGTGTGCTCTCCTCCTGAAATAATGACATGCATTTTGTGGTTGAGGATTCAGCACCCATGTGAGTTACTGAGGGTGAGGTTTGTAACATTTGTAAGTAATTTGAGTGGTTAGCTTAAAATAAACAGTCTATGATAGTTAAAGATTCAATCATGTTTGAAGACATGATAATGATATTTTTTGATGTCTGATGTGGAGTTTTATTTTCCATTAAAAAAAGTTCAGGTAGTTTATTATGAAGTCTTAGAGGCCCATCTACAAGGCCGAGAGAAATATCCAAGATCTATAAAATCTGCTCATAGTGTTCCATTAAACATATCTCACAGGATTTCTCCTCCCTCTCTGAAAGTCACATTTATTAGTGAATGCCTGCTGGATATTTCAGGTTTCCAAGTTGCCTGTGGGACCCTGATTAGCTTTACAACAAGATTCTACATCACTACATCCATCCTCATCACAAAGTCAGACTGAATTATTATTAGGAAGGCTCTTAATTCAACAGAATCTTTTGAATTTAATTTTTTTTAACTCTGTAATAGTTTGGGGCAACAGATGACGTCACATAGCTGAAGTGTTTCATATCGGATCTCATCTCTTATTATAAAATGAGTGTGATGATGTTTGTAATCTTTGCGATTTCTGTCATTCTGTTTCTCAGGGTGCTGAGGGTCTTCCAGGACTTCCTGGACCTCCTGGCCCTGATGGACCACCAGTGAGTGATTTTATAATGATATCTGCATGAAGAATATTGTCATGAATATATTTATTTATTTGTTTATTTGTTAGGGCAGCGTGAGAGAGTGAATGAGATGCGGCAGAGTGCTAAATGTTACAGTTAGACCCAGGCTGCCCGCTTCAAAGACTTTAGCCTCTGTACATGGGGCACGAGATACAACTCCTAGGCTATCTGGTGCCCCCTTTATTTTATTTTTTCATTTCTGATAGATTATTTTTGAATGTAAGCATTATAAAACATAAAAATGACTATTATTGAATTGTGTGTTGTCATTTCCCCTTGTGTCAGGGTCTTCCTGGTACTCTTCAGGACCTCAGTGGTGACCTCCTGGTAAGTTGTCGTGCTCTTATCAGAGCTGCGTTCAAATCATGATGCCTCCTCTGTAAAAAAAGTGAGAGTAGAGTAGTGTACTCAGATTTTGATGTGTATCTTCTGCAGTGTCCTGCAATCTGCCCCCCTGGACCCTCCGGCCCCCCTGGGATGCCAGGATTCAAGGTAAACAATTGTCATCAACTATATGCTGCTCATTGTGTCTCTGGGAATAAATACAACTCAGGTCACCATGAAGAGTACTATCTGTATTGAAACGTGTGTTTTTGCTTGTGTAGGGTCACACAGGGCATAAAGGAGACAAAGGAGAGCCTGGAAAGGATGGAGAGAAGGTCAGTTTACCACGTGTACATATTTATTTCACTGGGGAAAAAATGTTGACATTGAGTTTATTTCCAAATGAAATAACCTTCATGTGCAAGAAATTTGGTTCGTTTCTGTGATTTAATGTCCTAATTGCCCTGTTCTGTCTCCAGGGGGATTCTGGTCCACCTGGGCCACCAGGTATTCCTGGGACTGTAGGCCTGCAGGTGAGTTTAACCCTGAATTTTTGATCAATCTGGCGACTTTTCCCTGTTAACCTACACATACATTTGTCCAAAAGGCACTTTTTAAGGAATAGTGAACCTGACTTTGGTGTTTGATGTTTTGAAGCCACTGAGTATGTTTATGTTGTGTTGTAGGGCCCACGTGGTCTCAGAGGTTTACAAGGCCCCATGGGAGCTGTAGGAGACAGAGTAAGCAACAATAAGAACACAATTACTTCTTCCTATATCAGCTTTTTAACTGCTCCAAAAGCAGACATTTCTATCCATGTGCTTACTGCAGTTTCCTCTCTCTCTAGGGTCTACCTGGTTTCAGAGGCAAACCTGGCATCGCTGGCATCATCGGAAAGACAGTGAGTCTTTCTTTGTTCGTATCATACTTGAAATAATTAGAAGCAGTGTTTGGTAGTACTTCACTGCCCGAATAGACGGCGGCTGGTCCCATCAATGAATAGCTGTGTGTGTTGCATCTGATGTCTCCAGGGTGACGCTGGAGAAAAAGGACCACAGGGCTTCAGAGGACCCAAAGGAGAAATTGTGAGTAAAAGACTTTGATTTGTGACTTTGAGCTTCATAAGTACATATTAGATGGAAAACAATTATAATAATAACACTCCAATGTGTCTTTAAACAGGGTAAAATCGGTCCTAAAGGAGGCCCTGGGGGAGCAGGTACCAAAGGAGAGCCTGTAAGTAAATATCTGAAAAATGATATATATTTATCTAAAACATCATGTATCAGATCCACAAGAACTATGTTTGATGTTTTCTTCAGGGTATCCCTGGCAGAGACGGTAAAGATGGAACACCAGGATTAGATGGTGAGAAGGTAAGTGGTCTCTCTCTTCAGACTCTGGGCTTACATGAGATGCTTGTCTATGGCCTGAGTAAAGCTGGTGTTACATTGTTGTGTATGTCCACAGGGTGATGCTGGACGCCACGGGATTGTTGGAGAGAAAGGACCAATGGCCTTCCTGTAAGTTTTTTGACAATAATATGTCAATAGGGTATTAAAGGAAAATTTAAATCCCCTTTACTATGATTTGAATCTCTAACTAGTAGTTTAATTGTTACACCAACTCTCAGCACTGTTCTGATTAGTGAACATGGCGTGTTAAATTAAATGCTTATGAAATGTGTTCTGGTTTCATGGGGTGTATACATGAGCACCCCCAGAGAAGTCATTGTTTTTTTGGTTGTTTTTTTTCCAGGGTCTCCAAGGAAAGGGTGGTGCAAAGGGCTCCAAAGGAGGAGTAGTGAGTATCACAGAAAAAATAAGAAACAGAATTTAAACTTGAAGCTTAGATAAGAACTGTCGAAAATAACTTATCCTTCTTTTATAACAGGGGGATCCCGGAAAGCCTGGGGAGACAGGACCCTCTGGAGAGCCAGGTATTCCTGTATGTATCTGATAGGCTCTTTAAAGGGGAGGGGGGATTACTGGGTCACTTAACCCCACATGGAAGTTTTAACATTCTGGCGCCCTGACTCTAAACTTTCCTGACTTTTCTGTCTTTCGTCTCCTTTCTCAGGGTGATATTGGAATCCCAGGAGAGAGGGGGATAGCTGGACCCAGAGGCGTGGCTGTGAGTTAAAACCTAAATAAATTCATCTTTTGTCCAATTGTCACACTCCTTGTGCAGCTATATACGACTTGAAGGCATCCACTATAACACATCGAAGACATTAATAATCACTGCCCCATCAAGAAGCTTGTAAAACTTTAAGCTGAACAGTTCCAAATTCACCACATTCAGACTCCTATCCAACAAATATATTGAAGTAATAGCTAGTGTGGAAAAAATGGAATTCATGTAAACCACCCATCTCAGAAGACAAAAATGCATCGAAGCATGCAGCATTAATTGGCTCACATTGACATGAATTAATAAAAAGCTGCTTCTTGAAGTGAATGATATTTTCTGCACGAGTACAGAGAGTGTTGTGGCTGATACGGTGGCTTGTTAAGGTTGAGTTTGTAAGTAATGAAGGGCCGGTGATAAGAGCAGGTATTCATAAAGCAGGACTTCATAAACAAAAGAGCTTTTGTTTTTTACATGAGACCCTGCGGCGAGGAAAAAAAAAAAAAGTCGAAACAAGAACAGGAACTCACTCACTTCTCTTGTACAACTGCACTGCATAATGAATCATACCTTATACAACCAAAATACAAGTTGTTTTTAGATCTTCTCTGAAATGTTAAAAAAAAAAAAACCTCTTCAAGAAGGAAACATCCATATTCAGTTGTCTTCCCTCTAAGATCACCTGACTATGTCTGTGTCCAACAGGGAGGAATCGGACCAGCAGGTAACCCCGGGCCTCAGGGAGGGAAAGGCTTCCAGGTCAGTTGCGTGACATTAACGATCATTATCTTTTTTTTTTCTATTATTATTTCACTCACTCGATTCATGCGTTGTACACTGCAGGGGGTGAAAGGAGCCTTGGGGGATCCAGGTCTTCCAGGTCCAACAGGAATCCGTGGAGACTTCGGTGAAAGGGTGAGTGTGACGTGTGCGACTATAATAAAATGTGTCCCTGGGATACATGACGCCATGCACCATGTGTTATCTAATGTGCAGTACAGATTGACATTTTGTAATAAAACATAGAACTTCTCTTGATTATGATCAGTGTCCCTGCTGTTTACTTCATTATTATATTGCTCTATAAAATCTCAGCAAATATGGAAACCTTTTGTCTTAAGCAATCTGAAATAAACATGTTTCAGCTACACTTGGACTAAGAGACCAAAGTTAGAAACACATTGTGCCAGACTGCTACAGGCTACTGCTACTGTCTTTATTTGACTTTCTCTTCCTTTGACTTTAAAGACTTTAATATCTGGTTTTATGCAGCAGATGTTGTGACTCTTACTCAGTTTCTATCATTTAAACTGAAGTGACTCAAGTGAATCAATGTTAGAGTCTAGAGTTAATAATAATTATAATAGCTTGAATATTTATATATCACCTTTCAAGGGACCCAAGGACCCAAGGACACTTAACATCAGAACATAAACAAAGACAACACAATTAACCGAGTAAATAAGCATAACCACTCCATAAGTTACTTACTTTTTTCAATTACGTATAAATGACCATATTCAGCTCTCATACTGTAAAATATGAACATATGAAAAGCTTGGGGCGCAGATGGCCTACTGGTCAGGTTGGACAGAGGCTTTAGTCCTCCAAGCGGACAGCCTGGGTTTAAGTCCGACCTGTTGCTCCTTTCCCACATTCCGTTTCCCACTCTCTCTCACCTTGTTTCCTCCTCTATCCACTGTCCTATCCAATAAATGTTCAATAAATACAAAAGCCCCCCAGAAATAAATCTTTTTTTTTTTTTAAATATGAAAAGCATCTTAACAGATAAAAAATAAAAAGTAAGTGCCTTCGGGAAACCACTTCAACACGTTCTCTGCTCACAGACAGACAGTCCAACAGAGAGATGACAAAGTTCAGCGAAACATATGTCAACGTGACCGTATTTCAATAAACCAGGTCCACTCTCCTCATCTTCGAGGTAAAAACTCTGAAGGCAGGAGAGAGATCCCAAACACAAACGTGCCTCCTGTTCAGAACCTGAGGACAGAACAAAGCCGCTCTTTATGCCGCTCCTGGTTCCCCTCAACCAGCCCACATCACTTCCCTTCATCCCCCCCCATCGTCTGCCACAGCGGGCCCTCCACTCTATGTCTCTACATGGCTCTCATTCATTCTCTCTCTCTCTCCTTTTTCATCCATGTAGGGCCCTGTTGGAGCTTCTGGAGCTAAGGGAGACATGGTAAATATTTCTGGTCAAACCTGAATATGACCCCCATCGAGGGCCTTCTTTTCTTTTTAAGAAACTAAAATGCTTGTGTCTTGTTCTATTTACAATAAAACCTCTCTGGACTTTGTGGATTAAATCAGATAAGCCAGATCTTGTGTTGTGTCTCTAGGGTGTTGCAGGAAGTGATGGTTTACCAGGAGAGAACGGAGAACCTGTAAGTATTTTTATTGACTCACTTAGCTCAGAAGTACAGAATGACTCCAGAGACTCATTTCTTTGTCAGCAGTTATTGGTGTAGTTTCAAAGTATTGATGCAGAACTGTGCAACTGCTAAATAATCAAGATAGCGAATGCACAGTACACTTACTTTAAAGTCTTATCAGTGGTTGCTCTCTAAGATTTCAGGGTATTTTACTGGTACAAAGCCACTCTATGGTCTTACAACAACCTTTGTGTGCTGAGTATCAGATCGTGTTTTACGGCCTTTTTTTAAATGTTTGCCTTGCTTATTTTCATTGTCTTTTATTTTTTATTGGTATTATTGTATCGCTTTTGCCTTTTATTTAAATTGCACCAACCTGTAAGAAAGATTTCTTACTAATTCATCTCAGTGACTGATTTAATGTGTTTAACAATTTAATAGTTTGAACTAACTGTTATCTTTTTAATATGTGTGTCCCTATTTTTAGGGTCCCTTTGGCCCAGTTGGACAAAAAGGACAGGTGAGCTACATCAGTGTCATGCTTTACATTTTGTGTCTTCCTTAACATAAACTCATTGTCTTCACACAGTGGATATCTGCCTGTTAGCATTAAATAGAGTTCGGTCAGATGTTGTGTGTGGGTGTCGTTTCGCAGCACAAGTTTGGCCCAAACTCTCTCGCTCAAACTCACTCGACACTGAAACCTGGTGCAGAGCTTTGAGCCGTCGCCCACTTGTCAGACTCATTGCACATGATTCTGCTTCACATTCCAGGTTTAATAGGATTAATTAGAGATTGGTACTGCTGCTGTAGCTTTATTGGCCTGTTCGCTGCTATCGCCACAAGGGAGAGAGACGAGTCACATTAAGCTGTTGCACAATTTATGCCATTAGCGACACAGTAGTGATGAGCCTCGCTCTCCTGGTCTCATTTACTGTTTGCTGTGCTTGTTGGAGTAATTATCAAGCACCAAGATGCCATATGAATCCGCCCCTGCGTTGTCTCAGCAGACACAGATTGCTGTTTGGTTGGTACTTAGTCAACCGTTATATCAGAGGCTCGTGGATTTGATTTAACTGCAGTTGGGAAGAAATTGAATTAAAGTTTTTTTTTTTGGGAAATGTGAACGCTTCTTTTTTTTTTTCGTGTGGATTATAGCCAGGGAAGCGAGGTGAACTGGGACCTAAGGGCGTGACCGGTCCACAAGGGGAGCTCGGGGGAAGAGGGCTTCCAGGAAAACAAGGACCAATGGGCTTCCAGGGGGAGCAGGGTCAGCCTGGTATTTCTGGAAAGACAGGTGTACCTGTGAGTGCTTTTTAAATCATCCCAATTTAAAAGAGTGACGCATATTAAATATCCATGTTGATGAGTTGATAATTATGCTTTCATTGTCTTATTCACTTGATTTTTAGGGTAAACTAGCAAGTGAGCAGCAAATCAGAGAGCTGTGTGGCTCAATGATCGATGGTGAGGAATCTTGTTTTGTTCGACAGTCACTGAAAGATTGGCTAAAGGTTGAATGATGCATAACCTGCTTTGTTTTCTATCTTGCAGATCAGATTGCACAACTGGCTGCTAACCTTCGAAGACCTCTGGCTCCTGGATTGGTGGGCCGCCCCGGCCCTGCTGGATCTCCAGGAAAGACAGGAGTTGCTGGCTCTATAGGACATCCTGGTTCCCGTGGACCTCCAGGATATAGAGGTCTACCTGGAGAACTTGGAGACCCAGGTCCAAGAGGTATGATTCATGAAGTTTTGAGTTTCTCCTTTAGATATTATTAAACGTTTAGCTTTATGCAGACCTGTTACCAACACATAGACAGTCAGTCAAATAAGAAACCCGTCCTTGTTTCAATACCTGTATTTCCCTACCTTTCAGCATTTTAGAAAATGGCCTTATGTATCTCCAGGGCAACTGTTTTCCAACATTATATAAAGCTATATGGTATTACGTCTATACTTACAAAAGGCTCAAAGTTTGAGGTGCAATGATATGAAAAACGGGGGGTCATAAATGTATGCATTCAGAAAGAACACTATATTTTGAAAGGGATGCTGCAATGCATTAAAAGGTCAAACAGAGAAAGTACAATTTGGAAAACAGAGACTTTTTTTCTGCAAGAAATGTAACAAGGCTGTGATCCCAGTCTTTCAATATTAAATTAATCTCTAAAAAAAGAAACAATTCTTCCAGTGTTATGGTGTCAAACAATTTTAGTGGACTCCAAAGAATATTTTCTGTTTGGAACAGAATAAGGAAATGAGGAAGCATACTCACATTAGGATGAAAGGAACAGCCCATGAGTTGATGCACTTTGTTCCTTTTCATCATTGATTCAAATCTTCTGTTTTCACGACAGGTGATGTCGGAGAGCAAGGTGATAAGGGATCCCTTGGTAAAGCCATTGATGGGCCTGCTGGTGACCAAGGATACCAGGGTAAGTCCACCTTAGACTACACTATGAGCACAGCTTGAGCTGATGATCCAGGTCTTTGACTACACATTTTCAACCTGTGAAAATATCCTGTGAGCAAAGTCTATTGTGGTTTCATTTATACAACTGGCATTCACTATCACAGCAGATGTGCAGTCAGTCCTATAAACAAGTAGAATCATTTCAAAATCATTATGCTTTATCTAATCTTAAAAATACAAGTTTGTTTCACTCAGGTTACAGCAGCACTCTGTGGTCGGCTCATTCCCTCTATGTCGTTCACAGGTCTTCCAGGTGTTCCTGGAATAGTCAAAGACGGGCGTGATGGATCTCCAGGAGATCCAGGTGAGCCCGGAGAGTCAGGCAGGGTAGGCAGAACTGGGCACCAGGGACCTCCTGGAATCTGTGACACAACAGCCTGCCAAGGAGCAGCAGCCGCTGGAAAGTCCTCCAACCCCAAAAACCATTAAAACGTGATGTCCTGCCACCTGTCACCATCCACCCAGGAGAGGAAGGCTGATACGCGAGGGAAGGAAGGAGTGAAAGAAGCAAGTGATCATGAAAATGTCCTCTTTATTTAAATACATGCATCACAGGATGGGAAGAGTAACATCAACAGGTGTGATATTTTGAGTGGAATAGAGGAACATCTGAGGATTGGCACGAAAAAACCAGAGCAACTGAGAGACAAAAACAAGATGACATCAAGAAAAAAAAAAGTGGACAGAGGCGAGAGATCTAACGCATTGCTCCAAATCCTACAGCATCACAAACAAGACTTGACTTACAAACAACTGAAGATGAATGATGAGTCCTTTGTGTATAAAAACTTTGTACATGTTGTTTCCATGCCCCAGTTTACCTTGGTTAGCCTCCTTCTGGCAGACGACACTTTTAAAACATCAGCGGCTGTCTCTGAAGTGAATGTTCATGTCTCATGGCCCCATTAATGTAAATGTCAAGTGTTACCTCAAAATACAAACTTTCAGTGTAAAATATGAGATGGTGGAAGAGGTAAAAAGAAAAGCCTCTGTCGAGGAGCTGTGTGTGAACAGTCAAAGGAATAAAAAACAGAGAAATTGTGTAGATTAATACAAAAAAAATACTTTATGATAGTCTTTTTTTACAGCTTGTTTTTATAATTACATGTGAAGTTCATTCTCTAGATTTGAGAATCAGAAACCAAATAAAACGTGTGGATGCATACATCAGTCATTTTAAGATCAATCTAAGGAGCAAAGGAATCTGTTTGTTTTTTACCCTGCAATGACCACATCCACTTTGTACTACCGGTGCTGTAACTATTAAATATACATGACCTTAAATACTATTTATTATTTGTGGGTGACTGTTGTATGTACAGTAAGATGCTACAGCGACATGTTGTAAGAACGAACAAATAAAGCCACTTTTCAGTAAAACATTACTCTTCTCTACATATCAAATGAACAGTCTGTATTTCAGAGTAAGATGGTAACACAGTGAGGTTAAATGATCCCGTTAATTCACTAAATAGCAACACTTATTTCCATGCAAAAGCCTTCAACATGTAACCTGAACAACATGTATGAACAGAGTGTAACTGAAGTGTTAGAAAACCATTTGAATCAATAATAAAAATTGAATCAAATTTACAAAATGTATTACATATTTAGAAGTATTATCTTATCTCATATGTTTTTTTCAAAGAGAAACAGTGCCACCTATGTATGACTTTTTGAATTGCTCTTTTTAAAAAGTAGGCCCTAGGTATAGTTTAGTGGCAGGAAAAAGTTCATCAGTTGAAACACAAACTTGACACTATCTGGTTTTTTAGATCCAGGTGGAGAAAACCAACAAAGTTCCAAATCTATAGAACTGTCATGTAGATGCAAAGGGGGGGATGCTTTTTGTCAGTGAAAATATAACATCACATTGAACTCTCCTACAGCCACACCTTGGAGGAAACCCCAAATGTTAAATTAAAACCTATACAAACATCTGTTGTGTTAATTAGAATTAACAGTGAGGCGTTACTGCTCTACAACAAGAGGAATGGTGAGGGTCTCATCCATCTCTTGGTGCATCAGGTCCTGGCCTGGAGAAGGGCGGGATTTTAGAAAGAGTTCCTTTTCGTTGCTGAAGGCCATTTTGAACTCCTGTTAAAGGGTAGGGTAGCAGATTATTGGTGTTGACACGTAAATCTATGAAAAGTCTATACAATCTAAACTGTCTCTCTTTTCAATTCAAGTAATGGTTCATCATTCAGATAACTATTTAGTCGTATTATGTAAATCAGTGTCTAAAGAGTGCAGAGCTGCAACACAGGGCAATCCATCACAGTAAATACAAAAAGTTAGTTTGATTTTGAACAGTTCAAATGAGAGAAATATGACACTGAATATGATGATGACCTCTCTGAATAAGAAAAGTCAAATGGACTCAGCTGCAGAACCAATTATTCATGCAGCAAAGGATAGTGTGATTAAGCTCTTATCTTAAGTTTCTGGTCTCTAATATTTCATTTATTCCAGGATGATCAGGCAAAACTGTTGCCATAAATCAACGTTCAAACTCAGGAAGTCAAAGAACACAGCCTTACCTCTTTGAAGGTGTCCCCGTAGGTATCACTGATGTATCTGAGGAAGGTGGTGGTCCACTGCAAGGTCGTGACTTTGTCGGTATCCAAGTTACAGAACGGAACCAGCAGGTTCAGCTCATCGCAGCACAGACGGATCCTCTTCCTGAGAGGCAGCAGAAACCGCACAGATGTAGAAATCAAATGTCCTGTCAGCCTTTATTTACTCTAACCCTGTTCTTAGATCCCAAAGCTTCATTTGTTTAGTTCTTAGTGCAGAGTTTTGATTTCTCTCTATGGCTCTCTTGATAAATTACTTCAACATGTCACTAATCATTGCAGCTTTATACCGACATCTACCTCACCCTTTCTTTTATAATGAATCAACATCTAACATTTACATACCAGGCAACTGAACAATAACAGCTGATACATTGGGCTCAAGGAGTGAAAAGTACTTTCTGTCAAAAACCCTTCATGAGACAGTCACAATACAGAGAGGAAGAGGAGATGGGGAGAAAGAGACATATGATAAGATAAAAACAGACAGGGAAAGTTGCAGTTTTTTGGTTATAATAGACATGTCAGGAGGTCAGTTTTGATCGTTTGGTTTCTTTCTCAGAGCACAGTTAGGAAGTTTAAAGGGGGCAGTTAACAATTGAGAGACTGTTGCAGTATGTAATTTAAATCATTTTCTCAATTGACCTGTTAAAAGATGGGTCAATAAAATATCAGACTATAGTGAAAAATGCTCATTCCACCTAGAACGCTTTTTCTTTTACTGTAAAGAAGTCTGTTTTAACTGACAGCAGCTCCACACTCCTAAAATGTACATTTATCATCAAACAAACAAAAAGAAGAACACAGACAATCTGCACAATTAAGAAGCCAGACGTATGGAGTGTGACTTCAGTTTGTTCTTTCTATTAATAAATGATTAATAAATTATATGTTACAGGTTTATTTCATGTCTACAGAAATTCCCATTGTGGAGAATTTTTTCTTTTTAGTTTCAAAAAAATGAACTTAAAGCATTTGCGTTAAATTTGCCTGAGATTTGAATCTTAGTTATTGTGAAAATGAAATGTGATTATTTGAACAGTCTTTCAGTCATCAATCTCAGGAGAAACTTTGTCATAGTTCAACAGTAAAGGCATAGCTCGGCACACACACTTCATATGTTAAACTAACTTCACCCCAAAGTTATAGACGTTTGACTGGGACTATGGACTAGAAGGAGACATTGAACTGTGACTGAACACAAAACATTTTAATCAGTTCATCTTTTCAGAAAACTGTGTGTGTCAGAGCTGTTCGTAACGCATGCTCACCTGCGTTCCCTCTCCTTACTGTTATGTCTCTCCCTACGGCGGCTCGGTGAAATAGAAGATCGAGATTTTTTCCTGGAGCCGCTTCCTGACTCTACAACAGAGTCTGGTGCAGCCTTGGCACCCTTCATGGGCTGAGTGTTGCGGGCGATACCAAGCTTCCTGGAGGCAGCAGAAGTTGCCACATCAGCTGAAAAATAAAATCACGGGAGTATTAATTTGACGGGAGGTTACGCATTTGCAGTGCAGTTCAGCAGAAAACGTATACAAACAAGATGATTACCTTTTGTGTTCACCGACTGCTGATTCTCCGCCATGTTGCTTCTACTTGTGTAGTGAGCTTTTTTGAACACCCTGTCCGCTCGAAGACTTAATGATAAACTCTTCGGACTGTTTGAACCCTGATGCTTAGGGTCATTCATGTGAGGAAGATGGTTAATCACCTGTAATTAGAAAAGCAGATTAAACAATGAGTACTTCCTTTGGCTGATATCAAGATTTAGGAAATCAAAATATAAAAAATAAAAAAGTTTTTGCTTCCATCATACTTGTTCACACATGTTGGTGACTGGGTTGAATACACCTCCTACAAATGGGCAGGAAACCTCAAAAGGATTTGCTCTGTCTGTTTTCATCCACTTCTGCATTTGAGAATGTGTAACAGCTTCTTGATTCTCCGAGGACTGCTGAAGTATCGTCAAAAAACTGAAACAGGACAGACATTTTGCAAATTCTAATCAAAGATACTACGTCAGCATTTTTATTACAGGTTACGCCTAATTGCTTATAACTGCAGACTGAATATCTTACTGTCTTGGAGTATCAGCAGACACTGTGTTGAACCTCGTCTCCAAGCAGACTCTGGCAGCTGATCGCTTCTGTGAAGATATGCTGCTGTTGGTGCGTGGTTCAGTCGTATTGCCTTCCCCTCTCATTCTGGCCAGCACAAACCCCGGGACTTCACCAAAAGATGCCGGTGTCTTCTCTCCAGGCATCAACAGGCTGGGCTCATCGGTGGAGGTCGACAGGTCCATAGCTTGGGTGGTCGTGTAGGGAGAAATCACCGGGGATCCAGTTGTGTCTTCATCTACGTCTGCGTCAGGTGGCGCTCTCGCATCCGATCCGTCTCGAGGTGCAGCTTGTGTTTCCATTTGTGACTGAATAAGATGCTGAAGGTGAGAATAATCCACCTCGGACATCTCCACCACACCAAGCTCAGGTCCCAACATCTGCCCCTGGTCATGTGTCAAACATACACTTTGACTCACCTCCTCAGAGTCACAGGTGTGCTCTCTGTACGAGGGTGACACATGGAGGGTTTTATAAGATGAGAAAAAGGACATCCTCAGTCTGTAGATGGGATGGACACACATTACTTGTCTGAAAACTAATTGTTAACATCGTCTTTCAATAATGTTCCATTTGTACGAAGTATATTTTGTATTTATAAGCTTATAAAACGTACGACAAAATAAGATTCGGCTATTAAACAATGTATTTAAAACACCAAGAAGTAAGTTTCGTGCGTTATTATAAAAGCTCATTTCGTAAGTTCACGCTAGCAAAAAGAAAAAAAAAAAAGTTAAGCTAACCTTAACGTAAAATAATTTGAGAGTATGTTAGTAGTTAACGACACAATCTGGGTAAAGCCTCGGCTCCTGAAAGAGGAAATAAACACTTAACATTTTAAAGTATTCAATTGTTTTGTTTTCCAGCTCACAAGCAAGCATTTCTTTTTTTTTTAATATATAATATGCAGCTTTTCAAATGTTCTTCTACTTACTTTGAATCCGCCTCCTTGACCCCCGATGACCTCATTAATAGACGACTGAACCTCGGCTCATTCCCAAGTAGACAAAAAGTAACTTCATTTTAATCAGTGTTTATAAATCCATGTTCATAATTGTTCAGATGTTGTGCATTATTTTCGGTGTGTAAACACGTATCAATATATTACAAGATTTTTTTTTAAAATACTGATTTACCTGAAGTCTACTTAGTTTGCATTATACCTACACATTTTAGCATCTTGTACCCTTTTGTATTTGAATTGCAATATTATAGAGCAGGGGTGTGCAACTGGCGGCCCGGGGGGGCCACATGCGGCCCCCATCAACCCTCAACGTGGCCCTCGGGTCAATTTCTACACATCAATTAATTGGAAACATGAAGAAAAACATGACAAAATCTGCCATGAAATCATGAAAACCAGAAATATGTCCATAATATTTGATCACTGGTATATGTTGAGTTAAATTTGAGACATTATTGACTGTAATCATTTTTGTATCCTACAATTTGACCCCCTGGCATTGAGAATTAAATGAATGTGGCCCTTGCTGTGACCAAAGTTGCCCATCCCTGTTATAGAGGGATATATTATGATTCTAGTATCTGACACATATATTTATATTATTATTTATCAGTTAGCTTATATGTCTGAGAGTTTTGTGTGAAAAACAGCTGAACACGATAAGGATACATCATTTCTTATAAATTATGTTTGGCACACACTCAAAAAAAAAAAACCTGCTAGATTAAACACATGATACTACTTCTATCCTCAAACTACAACATAACCTGTTAAACTACACATAAATGCATCCCTGGTGTTATAAAATGCAATACACAACAGCTAAAATAAACACTCTGAGGGGTAATTTTCAGCATTAAGAGTAATTAATGTAGTCACCTTTTTTAATAATATACTAATTAATTTGCTAATAATGAAATTTGAATGGGCTAATATTTTCAATTCAGGACTTTTAAATAATATTCATATATTAAAGTGTGGTAGGACTATTTTACATTTTTACTTTAGAAAAATATCTAAATGCTTCCTCCAAGTCTGGCAGTTCACACACTATTATGGTCAGTTACTCAAGTCTGTAGTTATTATTGAATTAAACAAACCATTTCTTAGTTTAAATTGCATACTTAACACTTCCAAAGATCATTGATTGAGTAATTGTACAGCATAAGATCCAACTGACTGCTGCCGCCCTCCTTTGGTAAGGCTGGAACCTTGCAGGTATGTGGAGAATCAAGTACTGAACTGTAATAGGCCAAATAAAATAAAATAAAACAGTAAAAAGCTTCTTAAAACGAGTGTTAACATATCAATAACAGCATGTCTTCTTTTTAGAATATCAACTTTTAAGTACATCTTTCTTGCTGTTCTTCAACCTAAGTAACATTATTTGTAGTGACTTGTCACTATTCAGATAGTTACATTTATTTGTTTTAACTGATATAAGACAACCTGGAAACCAGTTTTAATGTCCCTATTGTCCCCCAATTGAAGGTTGTTTTCTTGAAAGACGTTTTGTTACGCCAACCTCTGAGAATACACACCTCTACCAACCTTGATTTATTTCCAAAATCAGAATGGTGCTGGCACTGCCCTCATTTAAAAAAATAATTAAAAAAAAAACATTTAAGTGCTGCCCACATAATTATCAAGGAATACAAACTATTTTAAAAAGGTAAGTCTCTTTTTATTGTCTTCTTATATTTAAAAAAAAATCAAGCCATTCTAATCAGAAGAACATAAAGGCCATATAAAGGCCACTGGTACTGACACTATGGCTATGTTAAAAACAAATAACCAAAAACCATACATTTCTGTACAAAAGAATTCTGACTAATTCCAACTAAAACACATAAAGTAGATGCATTAATCAAACAAAAGGAGGCATTAAGTAATAATCAAATAAAAAATACCTCAAATGTAACAAGACTAACCAAAATATAATAAACTAAAAATCTCTGAGCATTTTCATATCAAGCATCAACAACTTAGCCTTCACATGATTTAGCCAGTAGATCACATTGAAATTTAACCAACAACTTCCCATGACAATAACATTCAGTGTGATATGCTAATAAATATTATACAATTTTTACAACAGCCAAACTGACCTTAGGGGTGCATATGTTCTAACTTGGCTGAACTCCGCTTTTATTTTGTATCACTGCTTTTACTTTCATCGATTTTAGTTTCAACACAAGAACCATGAACCCCCTGTTTATTAGTTTCATTTTCCCCTTCTTTACCCACCCTGCCTCCATCTACAGGTGTGCTTATTTTATCAACAGATATTTTGTCCTTAATCAACTGGCTTTCACAACTCACTTGCCTAATTCTATTACTTTCCCTGTCTGTTGGGGGAACTGTTTGTTTTTGTTTTGGGCTGCAGATATCAGGCTTGTTGATTGTCCGATTTGGGAAACGTACAAGACCTGTTGGAGTTGGAAGTAAGGCCACTCTGTGTCTCTGGGGTTTTGCTACTTGCTGATTTGGTAGGTTTTCAAAACTGTGACGTGTGTTACTGCCAATGTTTTGAGATGCAAGAAGGGGCCCATTGTATGGTGCAGAATGTGGATCCCTAGGGCCTTGGAATCGAGGACCCTGACTATTGAAATGAGGTGAAGCTGCATCAGATCTCCTTGGGTCTAACCCTGGGCCCTCAGTGTTTGTATTCCACCTCCCAGGCTCATGTCTTATATCTGAACCTTCAGGTTCTGGCCCCCTCAAATCTGTTCTTTCAAGGCTTCGTCTTTTCATATCTAGATGTTTTCTTTCCCTTTTATAATTCTCAAATCTCTGTCTACCTGTTTCAGGGCTTTCCATGCATACACTTGGTCTTTCAAATTCTCGCCCCCTATATTCTGAAAACCTCCTACTTGCTCCTGGACCTTCAATGTTTGAATTTCTATTTTCAGGCACGGGGTATATTAAATCTGGACTTCCCAGGCCTCTTCTATCAAGACCTTCAGACTCAAATCCTCTTTTTTGACATGAATTAATCAAGTCTGGACCCATCCTATGGGCCTCAGCTCTGAAGTCTGGCTCCACATGGTCATTCCCCATGTCTAAATCCCTTCTTATATCTGATCTTGCTCCTCTTGTGTCTGGACCTCTTCTATCATGGCCTTGTTCTCTATTGTATGGATGCCTTTCCCCTCTGTAATAAGGACTAGCACCCCCCCTGTTTGGACCATGACCACCTCTGTAAGACTCTCTCCATTCATTTCCAGGTCTTCCCCTTCCAGGCCCTGGGCATAATGGGTCATCCTGGACAGGCCCTTGACCACTGTGATCAGGACCACTACAATCATCTACTGGCCTACTCAAAGAGCCTGGAAATGGCATGTTTGGTCTTTCCTGCATGGGCCTTCGCCCCCTTCTTCCAGGGCCTCTCCACTCCCTACTAGGACCTTGCCTGTTAAATTCCTGAACCTGCTCATTCCGGCCTTCTTGTATTGGACTAGGACCCCTGTCATTCCAGTGATCACCAGAAATTTCTCTTTCGTTTCCTGAAGCCATCATATTTTGCCCTCTTTCACCTGACCATTGATGCTCTGTGTCTATGCTTCTCCAATCAGGGGTGGAGTCTCTGAAATTTGGCCCTTTCCATCTGTCATCCTGTTTACTCAAATCTGCATTATATCCTCTCAAGCTTCTCCTTACAGGCCCTCGTCCCCTAAAGTTTTGTCCTGATCTAGTTTCTTTGCCCTCTACACCTGGGCCATCTTGGATGGATTCTAATCCACCAAAGTAAGGCCTTCCCCTTTCATCTCTAGGCCCAAGGCCTTCAATATATGAGCCTTTCTGCCTAATACCTGAGTCTCTGAAGTCAGGACCACCTGGTATTCTCAAATCAGGCCCTGAGCCTGTAATATCTAGACCTGTCTTCTCAAGTCCAGGTTCCCTGTAATCTAAGCTTGCTGTTTCTTGTTCGTAAGGTCCTAGGCCCTGAATTTCTGGACCTCTATGTTGATGTCCTGCTCCTCTAAAGTCTTGACCTTTTGTACTTGGCCCTGGACCCTCCATACCAACTCTGTCATACCTCAATCCTCTGAAGTGTTGACCTTTACAATCAGATTCTGGACCTTCCATATTTAAAGGGGGCCCAGATCCCATGATGTTAAGACCATCTGGACCTCTCATGTGTTGCCCTGGGCCCTGTGTGTTTCGACCTGAATGCTGAAGCCCTGGTCCCCTGATTCTTGGACCATCAGGCCCAGATACCCCGATAAGTGGTCCCCTCCTGTCTGACCCAGGACCTGGCATAGAATGACTACTCCTTTCATTGCCAGCATCTCTTAAGTGTGGACTTCCTGGTCCTCTTCTGCCAGGCCCCATCGCCTGGAAATCTGGAAGTACTGGTCCTCTCTTGCAAGGCTCTTGATTTTCCATGGTGTGAAGTCTTTCATGACCTGGACCAATTAATCCATGAAATCCTGTATTTAGTCTGTCAGGCTCTGGAAAATTGAAATTTGAACCTCCAGAATCCCTTCTGACAGGTTCCAGTCCCTCCATAGCCAGCCCCCTCCATTCAGACCCTGACCCTCTGAGATTTGGATCCAGAGTTCCTCTCCCATCAATCCAGGGATTCTCCATAGCGGGACCTTCACTTTCAGGCCCTGGTCCTCTGAAATCTGGACCTCCTGAGCCTCTTGGGTCATGCCCAGGGCCTTCCATAGGGTGGACCCTCCTTTGGAGACCTGTTCCTCTGAGATCTGGACCATCAGGTCCTTTTCTGTGAGGCCCAGGACCCTCCACTGAGGGACTTCTTCTTTGCAGCACTGGTCCTCTGAAATCTGGACCTCTTAGGACAGGCCCAGGACCCTCCATAGGGGGACCTCTCATTTCAGGACCTAGTCCCCTGAGATCCGATCCTCCAGGTTCTATCCTGTCAGGCCCAGGGCCGTGCATAGGGGGACCTCTTCTTCCAGGACCTGGTCCCCTGAAATCTTGACCTCTAGGTCCTCTTGTGTCATGCCCAGGATCCTCTATAGGGGGACCTCTCCTTTCAGTATCTGGTCCCCTGAAATCTTGATCTCCTGATCCTCCTCTGTCAGGCCTAGGACCTTCCATAGGGATACCTCTCCTTTCAGGACCTGGTCCCCTGAAATCTGGACCTCCAGGTCCTGCCCTTTGAGGCCCAGGGCCCTGCATAGGGAGACTTCTCCTTTCAAGACCCAGACCCCGGAAATCTGGACCTCCCGTTCCTCTCGTGTCAGGCCCTGGCCCCTGCATAGGGGGTCCTCTCCTTTCAGTACCTGGTTCTCTGAAATCTTGAATTACAGGTCCACTTGTGTCATGCCCAGGGCCCTCCATAGAGGGACCTCTCCTCTCAGGTCCTGGTCCTCTGACATCTGGACCTCCTGGTCCCCTTGGGTCATGCCTTGGACCCTCCATAGGGGAACATTTATTTTCATGCTTTGGTCTTCTGAAGTCTTCACCTCTGGGTCCTCTATTGTCAGGACCAAGATAATCCCTGGATAAAATTCTCCTTTCAGGCCCCGAACCCCTGAAATCTTGACCTTCCAGCATGTCAGACCCATGCCTTGAATTGAAATCAGGACCTCCAGTTCCTCTCCTATCAGTTACATGATCCTCCATTGGGGGACCTCTCCTTTCATGGGTTGATCCTCTGAAATCTTGGACCCCAGGTTCTCTCCTGGATGGCCTAAAACCCTTGATAAATTGATCTTTACATTCAGGCATTGATTCACTAAAATCTGGATGCCCAGGTAGTTGCCTATCAGCCCTAGTCTGACCTCTACTTCCAGGGTTTTGGGCCTTTACATCTTGGTCCATTGGTCCTCTCCTGCCAGGCTCTAAACTAACCATATCTGAACTTCTCTTTTCAGGCCATGGCCCCCTAAAATCATCTTCTCCCCTTTTAAATCCAGGACCTTCCATAGCTGGACCTCTGCTGTCAAGACTTGTTCCAAGAAAATTGTCAGTTCCTGAACTATTTATGTTAGGTCCTACATTGTCATTAATTGGGCCTCTTCTTGCAGGCAATAGTCTCTTAAAATCTGGACCTACTTGTCCTCTCCTTTCATACATGGGGTCCTCTGTGTTTGGATGTGTTTCAGGCACTGGTTCTCTTAAAATTTGGTTCACTGCACTTTTTCTGTCATGCCCCTGGGTCTCTGTTTTGACCTCTCCAATCAGGCCTGACTCTCCATTCATCTCGCATAAATTGCCCTACTCTGACTGGACCTGATCCCCTCCTCTCTGGTCCTCTCCATTCATCTCTCCTGTCTGTTCCTGGATCATTCCAGTCTGGACCCCTCATATGCAGACTCTGACCTTTATCTTGACCTGTCTGACCACTCATATCAGGGCCTGGACCTCTCCAATCTGAATTAGTATTGTTTTTCATTGGACCTCTATTTCCTTGAATCATTTGTTCATTTCTCTCCTCTAGCCACTGACCCTGTGGATTTCTTAATTGCATGTCTGATTCTCTCCTGTTTGGACTTAATTCTCCAATGTTTTTAAGTATAGTTTCTGGTTCTCTCATGTCGGTGCCATGCATTCCTATTTCAGAATTAACATTGGACTTTGGCCGATTTAAATGTTCTCTAGACCCTTTACTGTCTTGTTCAGTGCAGGACATATTGGACCTACCACTTTCTCTTTCTGAGAACCTTAAAGATGGACTTGCCTCACTTGTTTCTGGATCTCTCATCTGATTCTGTATGCCTGATCTACCCTTATCTAAATTTGTAGCTGCTGCTATAGGCATGTGTCTTCTCATTTCAGTTTCACTGTGTCTTAAATGAGAACTCTGTCCTTTTTCTTTTGTATTCAAGCCATGCATACTAGAACTTTCATTATCTTGCACCGAACCCCTCATGCCAAAACCTTGCATACTTGTTCCTGGAATGATGCTATCAGAATTGGGTTGTTGGAAATCAACTTTTCTAGTATTTAGCATGCCTGGACCATTCATGTCAGGCCCTGGAAATCTCAATTCTGGAAACTTTATCATGGGGTCCATGATTGGTTCTGAGCTCTGAATATCTGAGCCTGTAGCTTGATTTGAATGTCCTTCCACTTGATGCAGTGTTACTGGAAAATTGAAACCCAAGCTGTCTCCTTGTATTTGCTTTTCTGCCTCTTTCATTTCTTCATCTTTAACTGGACAATTAAAATTTTGAGCTGTACAATCGAAATGTAAAACAGCTGATATTGGAGTAGGCCCCAGTGCATTGGAAAATGATCCATGCCCACTGATAGACAGACAATTATTTTCAACTTTAACAGATGGCACTGAGACACTGTTATATGTCATAGGATCTCTGATTTCCTCAATTAGAGCAGATCCGCTTTGCTCTTTGCTGCTAGGCTTAAAAAATTGTGGCTCTGGATCTGGGCTCTCAGGAGAATCTCGAATGGGCGGATCAATCTCTCTTAATGGAATTGTACTGTCAATTTTGTCATAGAGCAGAGTTTCATGTTTAGAGGGTTTATCAAACTCCGCAGAAGAACTACGACCTATGTCATCATGGTCAATGATGGAATGTTTAGGGGTTCTTGGGTTTTGATGGCTCTACAATCTCAATCTTCACATTGTGAAGAACTTTGTGTTCTATATCAAGGCTCTCAGTAAGATTACCTTTTAACTGATGTCCATCAGGGTCTTTCTTTACAGTTAGTGACAAACATGATGATGTGTTACTCTCAACAAACTGTCCAGCAACAGAGTCAGAAGTGTCTGGATCAGTACACGGAACAGTTAAATGTTTTGACTTCGCAAGGACTTGAGGGGAATGTTCTCTATGCTGTTTTGCTAAAGGGACTCAGAATCTTTTTTCTTTGAGAGGATGGGGATCTCCTATGTCCACGAGAATGTCGAGAAGCGGTCCGCTCTCTACGGTGACCCTGGCGTTCAGACTGGTCTCTAGCTCTATGACCTGACCTCTCCCTTTCACTTCTTCTGTGTCTATCTCTTGCTCGGTGCCTACGGGAATGAGAAGGAGAACGCCTCTGTGATCTTCTTGAAGGACTTCTATGTCTGTCTCTTTCACGATGACTGCGCCTCTTTGGTGATAGCCTCCGCTTTCTGCTTTGGTTATTCATTGGACTGCTCTTGCGACTGGTACTATGCTCTGTTCCAGCCAAAGATGAATCACGAGTCCCAACATGAAATACATCCTCTTGAATTTCATTGAAAAGTGATTCATCCTCAGGATCATAAGCAACATCAGAATCTTCAATCTCTCCAGCAGAGGAATACTTGTCACTTTCCTTAACATGTTCCTGTGTTTCAGATTGCTCTGTAATACTATCTGTATCATTTTTAAGTAAACATGCCCTGGGAACGGTGGCATGTAATTAGTAATTCCAGTGTAGCCAGCATAAATTACTTTCAGCCAATACTCCCTGCAGCGCACACAATACTTGTTCATATGCATTGCATTGATTCCAGTCCATTTAGCAAATTGAGAGGAGACCTTGTGTTAGTTCTTATCCAAATAAAGAGAATTTAAATAAAAACTGCCCTTACTTGGATCATTACATCACCCAATGCGTCCATACATGTGTTTGTAGTGAGTCTCGGTTTATCTGTAAATAGTAAGTAAGTAATAAGTCACGCAGAGGCTACCCTCAAGCTCACTTCAAAATAATGTGCCCAAAAGAGACCCTGATATTTTTGTTATTTCCTTGCAAGAAGTGGGTCTTGAACTTACCTATTTCAGTAAGTACCAGAATCATGTTGCAGACTTGTATGAATTAAAAGATGCAAGTGTTGTCAGGTCTGTACTCAAGAGAATCACTTTTAAAAGGTTTGTTTGTTGAATGGGGTCAGGCGACCATTTTTTTTTGCATACCTCATTCATGTGGTATTCATTCCCCATGCTTTAGGATATGATTGTATGAGTGTGTCAGCATGTGAGCGATGATATATGTGTTGGATTCAGCACTGAGCGCATCTAAACAGGTGCTAGAGAAACATTAAAGGTGTTGTGTGTATATGCTCAACCCACATGCACTGCTGAAAATCTCCACAGATTTGTTTTGCTGGCAAAGCACAGACTTGACCAGTTGCCAGTTTTTTTTTTTTTCATCAAAACAGGTTAAACTTCGAGGTCAGTTGTATTTTTTCTTTGTGTAATGCAAATGTGAAAAAAAGCTGTTCTCTTTCTAAGGTGCAGGTGTATAACAGAGTGTCAGTCTGACAGCAGAGAGATGAATCTCCCCTTACATAAACCAGGCTGATGTGTGAGTGTTATACACCCAATCAGCCGCCCATCCCTCCTCTTCAGCCTGGTGAGACAGGTGCTGCTGGGACTGAGTGGCATTTTAAACCGAAACTCGCCATTCTTACCTGCACCTGCATTGTGTCTCCTGAGCACCTGCTTTTCCATTTAGCGCCTGACAATATCCCAGCTTTCTATTCATTTCCGTCTTTCAGGCAGGGGAAATGAATCACAGGGCTGTCAAGGAGAGGCACAGGAGCAATAACGGTAGTGTGAGAGAAAAAGAAACTTTGATATGTGAGGTTTACTCACTCTTTATTCCTCGCGGACCCTTGGGGTATGTTATGGGACATCACACTACTAGACTCTGGCTGCTAAAGCTAACAGACCTGCAGGTGTAATTTCATCTGCCCATCTTTTTTATCCCTGCCTCCCACATTCTCTCTCTCACTTTCCACCTCAGCATCATCCACCTCCCTTTTCTTTCACACGGAATGTTTGTCCTGTGTCATTTTCATTGAATTCACACACGCCAAGCTTCTTATTCTAAGTGCGGGCGTTCTCAGAAAATGCTACAAAACATAGCTTATCTTTAATAGCCTTTATAATTGAACTTCCTTACATGTTGTGAAAATGCATTGTGTTTGAAAGTGTTAGCCAAACAGATAGAAAAAGATAGAGACATTGCCCTCCCAAGATTTTCTTATGTGTCTTAAACAACAACATATGGACAAAGGGCTGGAAGAAGCTTAAAAACAGCATGTCACTATTGTGATTAATTAGCTGTCCATCACAAGGTGAAGTTTGTAGGGACGGCCAGATTTTCTATAATACCTGAATAGAACGAAGCTTGAGCAAAGGTGTCTCAGGCTGATGGTGGAGGTCAGTATCTCTGCTATCAAACATAGACAAGAGTCACCTCCTCCAGGCTCTAGTTTAGTTCAGATGGTAGAACAGGCACCAAGTCTTGGCTAGAGTCCTCATTCCACTGGTCCCGGGTTTGACTCCCAGTCCTGACGCTGTTTGTTGCATGTCATCCCCCACTCCCTCTCCAAACATTTACTGTCATATTTTTGGTAATAAAGCAACAAAATAATAAATAAATAACAGGTTTACCCCGCCCCCCCAAAAAAAAACACGACCACAGCTTCAGACAGAGTCCACCTAAATGTACATGTAATGTTAATGTACATCATCATAAAGGTATGAGGGTTGAGAGATGTATAAATTGACTTGCACATAGAGTAGCTGATGACGCAGTAACTTTTTTATTCTTGGCTAATTTGCGCTTAGCTCTTCTCTGCAATACATGAACATTCTGCTTTTTGTCTTTTTACACCTACAACTTTGAGAGAGGTGACTTTTCCTGGACAATAAAGATCAGGCCTCAGTCCCTCATTATTATCATGTAGACCATCAAGTCAAGTTTATTTATAAAGAACACTTCTTCAGCAGCAGGGTAATTCAAAGACATCAGTAACATCAAGACAACGAGAAAAAGAAATAAACCTGTGTATGCCTAAGACCCATAGACCCTTCTTTGACGATCTCATTAATTAACTGATTAACTGGAAATCTTACAAAAAACTGATTTTTCTACCAACTTAGAGTTTTGGTATTGGCCTCATAGTTTATTGTAGCTCAGCACAGATGACACAGTAAGATATAGACGCTTTGTTTTCTTCTTATCAAAGACCTGGTTGTGTTTGATAGTTTTGTAAGTTTGCCAGCATTATTGATGTTATCTGCATGTACTGTGGGACATCTGCAGTATCCAATTCCTATTTAGAAACGTGCAGTTTGTGCCATAATCCATGGAATATTTTGGTTAAATGTAACAACTTCTACACATTTCTTTGACAGCATGATTTTCAGACCAGGTTGTTATTACTCTGCTGCTCTAACACCCTTGTGTGTCTCTTTGTAAAAATATTGCAACAGAACTGCTTTGTTAGTATTGTTATATGGTACAAAAGGCACTTATACAGTGTAAATGTGTTTTTTTTTCTCAGTGAAGCACACCACTTAGCCACCTGTTATTTAAAATGACACAATAGAGGAGTGAACAGTCTTAACAGCGTAGATTGCCAAGTGTTGCGAATGATTGAAATTGCTCCAAAGTTTTTGAACAACATCAATGAACTTACAGTAAATCTTTGCTATGTCTTTGTTATCAAACATAAAGTTGTGTTTTCTGACAACCATTCTATATATACCTATAGAGCATCTGATGAGTCACACAGTACCTGGGCAGCACATTGCTCGCTCTCCTCTCTCTATGACACCTTGTCTTTTTGAGTTTTTTATTATGGAGCCTGCTGCTTCGCTTTCCTGAGCTCTCACCTCTGTGTGCAAACTGATATTTTAAGGTCTGCCATCTGCACAGGTGCCAAAAAACCTGGGAGTTCGACTGAATGTCTTTGGATCAATCTAAGATTATTCCCCAGGTCCTCGTGGCTGAAAAGATGGCCCGTTGCGCTTGCAACACACGCGAACACACACACTCACACACACACACACACACACACAAACACACACACACGTTTAATGATTTTTCTGGAGTGAACAAAACAATTAAGTAAAGCCCACAGCATCAAAGTCCTTCAGTTAAAGCTCAGGAGCCTGCAGGGAGATGTAGTGGAACACAAAACAATCAAAGGAATCAAACGGTAAGTGAGTAAAAAGGCAACGCACATTTTATTTTGCCTCGGGCGTTTGTGTGGAGGTTACCTCTGAGGGATCTCCTTGTGCTCTCCGCTGAGCACCTTTGTTCTCCCGCACTAGCGCAAACTGTTAGGCTAAAGACCAGTGAAACATTTAAATTCATGAGTAAAAGTGATGCACCAAGTTGTAGGGCTATGCTGTAAGTTTCTGGATCCTTATAGCAATTGTACTTGAGCTTTTTATTTTCATTTAATTGATAATTATCCACCTAAGAGGAAACTATCTTTAGAAGGATGATATTGATCAGATTTTTCATGTTGGTTTGTGTTGAAATTGTGTTTGCAGATCCAAAGCATCTACTTCCATGAAGAGCCAATTGATGGCCGCTAAAGTGCAATTTCTGCCCGTTTCTATTCGTCTTCTAAATTCTGTTTTTGTTTTCCTTCAGGGAACATCTATATCTACAGTCAAATAGACATGAAGAATTATTTGAGAAAGGTGTGAAGGTGCTGGGAAGATGAAACTGATGCAGAAGTTTGTGAGTAATCTTCTAAAAGCTATTTCAGCACAGTTTGTTGGTCGATGAGAAGAATAACACATATCAATTTAAAACACGTCCCCCCCAATTAATATCTATGAATGCTGCACAGCCAAGATTATTCTGTCCAGCCATCTGTCATCTGTCTTGTAAACTGACTCTGGGTCTCTCTGGCAATTACAGTCATTTGTTGGTGACTAAGAAGGTGATTACACTATCAGGGAGATCAAGCAGGAAGAATCCCTCTGTTTTTGAGAGGAAATGTAACTTAATTTTTACGTTTGAGTTCTTAAACTTATATCATATTTACATTTCTAATGCAATAACAAGTTTTATTTGAATTACCGTATTTTCCGCATTATAAGGCGCACCGGATTATAAGGCGCACCTTCAATGAATGGCCTATTTTAGAACTGTTTTCATATATAGGGCGCACCGGATTATAAGGCGCATAGAATAGAACGTGTTTACAACTGAACAAGGCTGGGAGATATTGTGAATATATAAATATAAATACGTATAAAACGTAGTGCATTCACAATAACTCAACGTTGTTCAAACGTTAATGTGCATATTCACAATATCTCCCAGCCTTGTTCAGTTTAAACACGTAAAAGAAACACAGTCTGATACCGCTAATTCAAACGTTAGTGCATAACTCAACATTGTTCAGTATAACACGTAAAGCTCACTTTTTCAGTTCATTCCCTGTCCACGAATCCCTCGAATTCTTCTTCTTCAGTGTCCGAATTGAATAGTTGGGCGAGTACGGCATCCAACATGCCCGGCTCCCTCTCGTCATTATCCGAGTCAGTGTCGCTGAGCGCCGTGTACAACCAGTATGGATCAACCAATTAACCAATTGATCCATATATAAGGCGCTCCGGATTATAAGGCGC